GTGTGCGTGAAAAAGTTGTGTAGGAGAGAAAGACTTCAGAGAGCTGTTGTGTAGCAAACATATCTTTTCATTAAATTCAGCATTATTACTGCAACTTTCATTAAGAAATTTCAACAACAGTTAAAATAAATGTCACTTGATTTAATGACACTTGTTATTGATGATTAAGAATTTTAAACTAATCGAAGAAAGAATGATGTCATAATAGTATATGTTTCTTTTTGTCCAGCTTTGCTAAGTCACCCTTCAACATTGAGTTTAACTTTAATGACAGCCTACAACAGGACAATTAACAAAATGTCCATTCCTGCATAAAGATTTACACTGCTCAAAAAAATAAAGGGGACACTTAAATAACACACTCTGGATCGGAATGAATGAAACATTCTCAATGAATACAAAATTGGATATACTGAAAACAAAATCCCACACAAATCATTATGGAAATCAAATGTATTAATCAATAGAGGCCTGGGAGTCACACACAAAATTACAGTGGAGAAACACACCTCTGGCTGATCCAACTTTGATGTAATGTCTTTAAAACAGGTGAAAATCAGGCTCAGTATTGTATGTGGCCTTCATATGCCTGTTTGACCTCCCTACAACGCCTGGACAGCTCCTGATGAGGTGGTGGATGATCCTGAGGGATCTCCTCCCAGATCTGGACTAAAGCATCCGTTAACTCCTGGACAGTCTGTGGTGCAACGGGACATTGGTGGATGGATGGAGATGTCCCAAATGTGCTCAATCAGATTCAAGTCTGGGGAATGGGTGGGACAGTCCATAGCTTCAATGCATTTATCTTGCTGGAAGTGCTGATACACTCCACCCAGCATTAAGAGTCCTGCATTAAGAGGAACCCAGGGGGCAGCAGCCTCAGCAGAGACTCTCTGAATTCTTTTTACCCAGACGCCTCCTCCAGCTCTGCTGGGGGAAGCTAGAAGCGTCCAAGGCCACATGAGAAAAATAGTGTCCTGGGGGATCCCCTTGGCCCCCTCCTGCTGGGATACCTCCCAAGGGAAGTATCCATAGAGCATCAGAAAAAGATATCCGAGCCACCTCAGCTCAATCCTCTCGATCACCAAGAGAAGCAGCTCTACCCTGAACGTCTCCCCAATGACTGAGCTCCTCACCCTATCTCTAAGGGAATGCCCAGCCACCCTGTGGAGAAGGCTCATTTCAGCTGCTTATATTCAAGATCTCTATCTTTCAGTCATGATCCATATTTCATGCCTATAGTTAAGGTAGGGATGTGGTCCAACGGATGTGTCAAGAGTTTTGCCTTTTGGCTCAGCTTTCTCTTCACCTCAACCGACCACTGTAGCATCTGTTTATAGCAGCAACCGCACCAATCTATCTATCAATCTCCTACTCTATTCTTTCAAAAAGCTACATCAAGTTTCTAATAAATGCTGCAAGTGTCAAATCTCAGAACAGTGGACCCAGTATTCAAGGCAAGACAGACAGTGGGATTACTCAAAAAGTGTTTATTAAAAAAACTGATCTGCAGTTACAGCAACCAGGGCATCTAAGGCAGGAACCTCTGCAAGAGAGAAACACAGGTTAGTGACTATAATGATCTGACGGGGGATGATTATGAACGTCATCATCCAGTCCAGTGGCAGTTTTTTCAGATCTAATAACATTCTCTCCAGTTTAATCTAAATTACTGTGCAATAATTCAAATTTGAGTCAGTCATGAAATGCTGTTTGGTGAGAAGTTATTTATCATAATTTTATATAATCCCTCATACAATAAAAAATTATTTTAACAAATTTTTAGGCATTTCCAAATTACAATAAACAGATTTTTACAACCAGTCTTAACATCAAGATGTAAAAAATGTGTATCTTGAAAATTGAGAAGGCAAAATTTTTATTGTGTTTTCTAAGATCGATCTTCTCCCGTTTCCATATGTTGTACAACACCAAAACCTTTGTGATTTAATTTAGCAGGTTTTCCATCCAGGCGTTATGTAAACTGTGATGACGTAACTAGCTGCTCAACATCAAACCTTGACATCCAAACTGCATGCAGTCTCATCGCTGCTGCAGAAAAACCCTGCAAACGTCTCACACCTATCACCTGTATGCAACAAATTGCTTACTTTAGCGTCAGATTGTTTTACAGGCACCTAAAAGGCCTCAAATTAGCTCCAGCCACCTGACAAATGTTCCACACACTGACTCCGAATGGTGTTTAGGTAGGGAAGGACTGTAATCGGGTATAATGTTTGTTCTTCACCCCCATACAGTCATAAGTGGGGCCAACAGGGGCTTATAGTAGCAAAGCACTAAATATAAAGTCAGGTTTTCTACTGCTCTTCTTTCTCTCTTTTTCTCTGTCAAGCAAAGCGTAGTAGTAAATTTAAAATTAACAATGAACAGAATACTGATTGTGTAAAACTTTGTATGGGTAGAGCAAGCAAGTAATGTTAGAATATAAATATAATTTAAAAGTGGATGAACTAAATATTTTTTGTTAAATTTGGGATTATGAAGGTGTCTTATTTACTGTAAACGATTCTGAACTTTTATTTATAAATGTGTTAATTTGACATTGTGTTGAATACTCTTTCTTTCTTTCTTTCTTTCTTTCTTTCTTTCTTTCTTTCTTTCTTTCTTTCTTTCTTTCTTTCTTTCTTTCTTTCTTTCTTTCTTTCTTTCTTTCTTTCTTATGTGGAAGCTGCAGAGAGATAAGGCTTTCACACTGAACCAGTCAGCACCAAGGTGTTGACAAAAAGTATTTGTATGTGAACAATTCCTTCAGTATAATCCCTATCCATAACTTCTCCTTATTTTTTGTGGTATCTTTACGCGACTAAATTGTTACATTTTCTTGAATGTATAGAGCCTACTTTTAGAAGATTTTGGCCTTGAAAATATGAAGTAACCATCACTGGTGCAAATGATCTAATGATACCAATTAGATGTTTACATTTTGTTAAATTAAAACCACAAACTTTAGTCTCCATGGGATTTCCTATTTATTTTTTTTTACAAATTAACACTTAACTGTAAAGTACAACAAAAAAAAAATCAAACATGGAGTTATTTCTTTGAATACGTTTGAAAAATGTGAATTTGCAAAGAGCCTAATTTAGATTTATAATCATCAATAAAATATAGTCCAACCGATTCAATTTAGGAGTCACGTATAAGAACTAAAACAAAACATGCCTCAAGATTTGAACATCTCTCAAGCACTGTTCAGTACACTGTCTAACAAAGGGGCACAGACAGGGAAATCATAATCAGAGACCAAAGACACCAATGGTAAATCTGGGGGGGGGGGGGGGGGGGGGGGGGGGGGGGGGGGTAGCAAAGGTCTACGGCTCAGGAATGGGAATCAGTTGAAACATTTAACTATTAACTATACATAAATCATAAACAGTCTGCAGCAATCTCTGTTGGTTACAATGCTCTCAGTTGAGACTGAGATTACACTAAAGGACCATCACGTACAATCTCCTGTGACATTGTTATCACTGAATGTCTATAACTTTTTAATATATATTAACAGTAATGGCAATAATATTGCCCTTTCAACATTTGGTGGGATGGGGGCTCATAAGTAGTGTTGCACCGATACCGATACCAGTATTGGACGGGGCCCCGATACTGCCCTAAAATGGTGGTATCGGTATCGGCAAGTACCAACAAATAGGGCACCGATACCATTTTGAGAGCCATAAGTTTATTCAACTATTGTAACCCACTCCTCGTAGGCAATAAAAAGTTCTACTGGATTCACTTTGTATTAGATTTTTTCCTGCTTCACAAAGGTAGGGAGCAGCTTGACAAAGCCATGATGGCAATTATTTTACATTATTATGGTATCGGTATCGGCCGATACTGCACAGCCAGGTATCGGTTATCGGTATCGGGGCCAAAAAATGGGATCGGCGCAACACTACTCATAAGTAGCCTGAGCAAAATAAATAAACTCAAAGAAGTGACCTACCATGACTATGAAGCTGATCCCAGTGGGAAATTTGTCCTCTGCATTTGTCCCCAACTATGTAGGGGCAGTGATTGCCATGCCAGTCCAGGGACTGACTGCAGTTCTACTGTAAGGTGCCTTGGTCAAGGTCAGTGACCGGCGTAACATGTAACAACCAAACCATGCATTTTGCTTTAGGTTAATACACTATATTAATTAGGCTACATTTCGAGAAAAAAAAAAGAAAATTCCACCATCCCCATTCTTTTTTTTACAACTAGACTTCTGGGTTTACCTTCTTGTATGACAAAACCAGAACCATTAAAAAGGTCAGGTCAAAGTTATCTTTACTTATTAGAATGGCTCAGAAGAGAATTTTTGGCAAGATATGATGTTGCTCTTCATCCAACTGGACTAATCTTGAGTGGGCAAAGATTTCACTATCCACATGAAGTTTTATTAAGTTTTTTTCTTTAAATACCCTTTAAAACAGTGTACTCTAAACCACAAATAAACACTCTAAATATGCTGGTCTTTAAATGCAATAGTACAATCTGCCCCAGCAGATCTGACTAAAACCTTCAAAATCAGAGGCTCCCCAGCCTTTTCAAACATGAGATATGTTACAGTGATATGAAGAGTGTTAAAAGATCTGCAATTCCCACACAGAAAAAAAAGGTTGTGGGGGGAAATAGGAATCATATGTTTACATTCCAGTCTGAAAAGCTGAATTAACTTTTCTTCTCTCACTGATTGGCCTGCGCCGATCAAGCAGCAGAACTGAGAACTTGTTTTTTTTTTTTTTTTTTTTTTGTACATGCTCGGTGGTGTTGCATCAATTATGTGCAAAGTGGAAGGCCACTGAGAGAAAACGGGTAGGCGATGTGCACGGGGGTCGTGCGCGTGAGAAAAGCGCGCGTGAGTGCGTGCAGAGTTTATTGAAAGAGTTCCTCTCTCCCTCCCTGCCTGCCTCCCCCTTCTTCCCTCCTCCCTCCAGGCCAGGCAGCAGCAGCCTGGGTGGTCCCCCTCTCTCTCCACTTTGGTGAGCTGTTGCTTAGCAGCTAATAATAGGCGATGTTTGCAAAGTAATTTGCCTCTTCCTTGGCCAATGGGAGTCGGAGCACTTTTCCATCAAACCTCCCTTTTCAGGATTTGCCGAGAGGCGAACTTCTCCAAATGTTAATCGGAGTTAGACTTGACACGGACGGACTGCAGACTGTTAGGCTTTCTACTACTACTCCTCCTCCTTCTACCACAGATACTACGGCTCCCCTCTGAGACGCAGTTTCACCAACTCTCGGGACGAATGAAGACTGAAGGATCTATACGGATTTCGGCGCATAATGTCGGGATGGAGTTTGGAGACTTGTTTGGCTCCGCGGAAGAGTAGAAGAGCGAGTTTGTCGCCGGTAGCGCTGGATGCGCTCCACGTCTATGTTGGATTACAGCCGTGTTTTCTGAACTCCAAGCATCGATTCCCCTCCGCATCGCTCCGCATCGCTCCTAACACCCTTGTTGGACTATGGCCTCGGATCGCGGGGTCTCAGGGTCCGGCGTCTTTGGAGATTTACCCCCAAGTTATATGCGCTCCCCTCCGCCTGCGCACCCAGACCTGCAGCGCAGACCCAGCTATTGTCACGCCGCTTTCGCACTTAAACAGATCTCAAAGGTGATGCATTTTTTTTAAAATCTATGTTGGATTTTCTTTCAATCAAGTCGGGAAATGTGAATGAAGCGTAATTTAGTTTCCATTTTGTGCGCGATTTGATATTACGTGCGTGAAGCACAGTGATGATCCCACCAGAACCCCAGGATTGGAGCAAATAAAATGCTTTTTAGTGTTTCACTAATGAGATAAGAGTTGTTTGAATGAACAGGCAGAGTTTCATTCATGCTTGTCCCTCAGACCAATCAGTGTTTTGCAGCCGTGCAGTTCGTGCTTTCCTGGGCTCTGTGCGCGCCAGCGGAGAGCAGCGCACTGGCCCCGGGTCTGTTTGGAAATGTGGTGGGTCCTGTAGAGGAATTCACTGATTGAGTTTGATCTGACAAAGCATCTCTGGACCGCCCGGATGCTTGGACGTGTTTCAGCACCGCTGAGAGAAACCACAACACCAGAAAGCTATGTCCCTCTGCAACAAACAGCAGCAGCAGTGACATTTTTAACTAATGGCTCCCACACCGAGGCGGATTGAACCTGATTTAAGTTAAACTGTTGGGGATAAAGTGTTGAAAAGCATAAAAAAAAGATGAGCTGGGAGCCTATTTGTAAACTGCTGCTCTGTCAGTTTGCACACAGGCACATAGATACCCGTTTAAGAATAAAAAAAGGAAGAAATGCTCTCTGATATTCACAAATCCAGTATTTTACTGTGCTTTTCTATATTTTAGAAACACAACTATCTCTACAGTTTAGTAATATGTAGCCAGTTAGATTCAGATAGAGTTTATAATGTAGGCTAATGAAATAAATTCTAAAACAGTGCTATTTTAATCCAAAAAGTCAGTATGTACCTTGAAAATCAACCAAAAGCTGCTTTATATGGATTAAAAAACAAAACAAGAATCATTATCCTGCATGAAGTTTTCATGTCAAATCCTGCTTTTAGATGCATTCATTGTATGATGTTTTATTTTGCCTGCATATTACTTGATAATAATGTCCCTTTTTTTAACCCCTCTGAACATGCCTGACTTCCAGGGAAAGGCAGTAGGTCAGAAAGCTCCTCTGTGGATCCGGGCGAGGTTCCAGGCCTTCCTGTTCTCTCTGGGCTGCCGCATCCAGAGGCACTGCGGGAAGGTCCTCTTTATCGGACTCTTGGTGTTCGGGGCTCTGTCTGTGGGACTCCGGGTGGCAGCCATCGAAACCAACATCGAGCAGCTGTGGGTGGAAGGTGAGTTTCAACAGATCTCCTACTTTAGAGAGGGTGCTGGATGTAGTTGCATTAAGGAGCAACGGATGTGGATGTGCTTTTATTTGTTGGGTTCAGGTTCCACAGCTGCTGTTTTGGACTTTAACTGCATGACACATCCAATGCTTCCATTAACATTAGTTTTAAGGACAATTACAGCAGCTGGAGCAATAATTGTGAACATAGAGTCAACCTTATACTGAAATGATTTGATGACAGAGCTGCAAGTGTGTGTAGTTGGATTGGTTGGAGCAAAAGTTGAAGTTTTTTGAAAAATGAAAGCTTATTTTTCACAAATTTCTACCGGTTTATATTGTAGATATGTATTGTTAGTACTCCAGTGTGTATAGTTGTTTTGTAGATTGTTTTATACCATAAGACCCACTGTTTATTTGACCACTTGTCAAAGTGTATTGGTACAGCTTTCCCTGCATACATAACAGTGACATCTTGGCTTTTAAAATGCTTTCTGCTTCCTCTGTCATGCAGTAACATACTTTCATTTAGATAGCATGAAAGCCTCGGCATTGACCCTCTAATTTTTATCCATCTCTAAACTTTTGGTTTTTTAGATATAAGCCAGTTTTTTTCAGAGGCAAAGTCTGCCTCATTTGGTTTTTCACACTGGCCAAATTCCTTTTAAACCCTCAGGCTTTCTGTGCCGGGCCTGATCCCTGCAGCAGATGGGACTGTGTGAATGGTTAGCCATCTTTGAGGGCTGTGACCCCTCCCCCCCCACCCTTACACCCCCACCCCCCCTTTCCAGCTCCCTGTGTGGTCCCTAACTATTCTTGGATTCCATTCAACAAGAGGCAAGCAGGCACCACCTCCCTGAACCCCCCTCCCTTCTCCTCCTCTCTCCTCCCTCCTCCTTCTCTCCTCCTTGCAAGAAAAAAAATATAAGTGAATGCAGCTGAAGTTTACCCACCTGTTTTGCACGCTCTAAAAGCGCCACAGCAGTTGGTGAATATAAACAGACTCTATAGGGTTTAAGCCCACCATGTCGCTGGAGGACAGGAACAGGCTGCTCCCACAGGGCCCGGCACGGAGGTGTCTGAGGAGTCCCCCCGCACACTGCTTGGTGTCGGCTGAAGAGTGTTGGGAGGCCCGTACGCTTGACTTGCACAGGAATTTGAATAAGCTCCTCTGGGGCACACTTTGAAAGAAACACTCTTTGTTAAAATTAGGTGAAATTATTATGGTGGACTAAAGGTGTCAATTTTTTGGGAGAAAAACATCAATAATAGCAAGATCTGCCACTGTTTCTTCATTCCTTTGGTTATTGTAAATCTTTGGGATTACCTCTGTGGCTAATTGGCCGAGCTGCCCCCTTGAAGGAGATGTTTAGATGTTTGTGTGCCAGTTGTTTTTGCTGCAGGATTCAGAGAGCTGAACCAGGATAGGAGTAGGGGAAGGGGGGTACCGCTGCTGAAAGGGAGCGCTGTGCCTTTAAGAGGCTGTGGCCATGTTTCTAAAGTTTCTGCCTGCCTTGTTTCCACCAATAGCCCATTGACAAAGCTGCTAGGGCCTCAATGGAGAGTAAAGTGGTTCGGTAACAAGGAGAGGTTAGTTCTCTCTGTTTCTCTTCCACACACACACAAACATGGAGCAGCGCACACTCATGCTCTATTGTATGTAAGCCAGAAAACATGAAGGGGTTTAGAGGGGGGGTGAGATGTTCACAAATAAAACTGCAGATTTCAAATGAAGGGACTCAAAATATTGTTCTGTGCTTTTGAGTGGGTTTTAATGATGCTTGCTGTGTTGCAACTGAAAGGAGAGTCCATGTTTTCTTACAGTGTACCTAATTTGTTCAAACTAGTTAGGAAATAACACTAATAGTGTTAGCTCTCTGGATGTGTGAGAGATACATTGATGTTTTTTTGAAATATTACATTTTTACACACATGCAAACTTCTCTTCCTTCCCACATTTGAAGTTTTTTAGCTCAGTTTTCTGGCTATGTTCCTGTCTGTACGTCTTCCTGTCTTCGTTTTGACTGCGACTGCGTCTGTTTATATTTCTACCTGCTCTGTAAAGTCAGGCCACCGGGGCTTTTTTTAACTGCTTCCTCCTTTCTACAGGTCACCAAACCGTGAAGCACAGCAGCATTAGTCAAAGGAGGACTAGACATAGGGATGTGACAGAAACCAAAAAAAGTTTAAATCTTCTTCGTGTTAGTCGCTTTAGTTGTTGCGCTCTGACTCCAGCATTCTCATGTGTCTGCAATGTGGACATGCAGCTCGCAGGGTCAATTTTCAGCCTCACACCTATGTAGCTGAGATGTAAAAGCTGCAGCATCAGGGTGTTTAGTCTAACAGAGGGATTAAGACCTTTGTCTGGCAAGGTCTGAGTTTGCTGTAACATTATGAAGAAAGTCCATCAAACCTTGTTTAACATCTTAGATCAAAGATGCCCAGGTCGAAATTCTCCTGACAGATTCTCTTTGCTTGAACAACCAAGTCTGGTTTATTTTTTCAAATTACTAATACACTTAAACAAATCGTCACCATGGTATTTGGTGTTTTTTAACTTTGAAATTAAAAGAAAGTCAAGGATTGATGCATCAAAGCATAGATCCACTAAATAGTATCTGATTTTGGCCCTTTAATATATTTGAAACAAAACCCAACATGGCGGTATTCGAAGACTGTCCGATGCTGACCCCTGGCTCCTTGAACGTTGTATTTCCGAGGTTTAAACTTTGAACTCAGCTACCACTTTTATGCTGGTTGGTTTGAGCTAATGCTCTGACCTGGTCAACAGTCTTTATTGTTCACAAGTAGAAAGGAAAGATCATAAAATGAGGTGCAGGAAGAAGACAGGGATGAGTAGAGACAATAGGAGGATTGGGGCAGGAGCAGGGCGGAAGGTTTATGGCTTGCTCACACTTTTTCCACTCTTTTTTGCAGCATTTTTTTTTTCCTGACGCAGTTAAGCAAACATCAAGTGTGAGAATGTCTCCTGCGTTTCTTTCTTTCCCAACAAAGTCCCACTACATTGTTTGCTTTCTTTTGCCTGAAGGTTGACCAGAATATGGTGCTTTCTTCTTTGTTTAGATACTTGCTTTTTTCGCTTATTATTCTTATTTTCCAATGCCCTGTTTCAAAAGCTTGTTTGGAAAAGGGGGGGGTTACAAAAAAAAGAAATGGGTTGCACGTAAAATAGGCGGTGTTTACTCTGACATCAACTAAACTCATCTTTCTTGGCGGGATTCGAGTGAGGCATGACAGACATATACACAGACTCAAGCTGTCCAAATATGAATGCAGCGAGACAGGGCCCTGCAGCCGCACCACATGTCCCATAAAAAGTCAGCGTGGAAAGAGGGGGAGGTAAAGACCATGCACAGTCCAAAGGGATGTGAATGCACAGGGACCAAAGGGTTGTTTTAGCTAGATCTGAAATTAGAGGGGATATGAGGAGATCAAGAACTAGATTGAATAGAATCAAAAGAAAGGGTTGGTTTAGTGAGAAACTTCTGAGTTTACGCAAATGAGTGAATGCACACATGGGCATTTTTGGGAGTTTGGAGCTGTTTCTCTAAACAAACCTCAGGGCCGTGCGGCAGGTAAATGCTATAATTCATTGGAGTACACACAGCGGCCCAGTTCAGACAGAGAAAGGGAGCTCTATGAGGCATTATTGGAGGTGAATAGTGCGCAGAGGTGCCCCAGCTAGATAAATAAACTCCCAGCGTTCAGGGCCCAAGACCTCACTGGTAGAGAGAACAAACAAGACCAGAGTCAACCTGGGTCACTTCTAAATGTTTACTTCACCCCCTTCCTTCCATCTTTCAATTCAACACTACCTCATTCCACTCTCTTTCTCAGCAACACCCCCGCCTCAATCCACCAACACTAACACACATGCACACACGCTTCAACAGACCGACCAGGACCACCCCCTAACAAATAAACACACTCTGAACTGAAATATATACATATGCAGATGACAGACACATGTTCACCTGCCTTTATTTTTCCACAACCATTTTCTCAAGCTGAAAAAAACCCCAACAAAATTGATGACATCCATTAGCTAGTGAAATGTTCACAATATTAGGTAGGATTCATCTAAACTTTTCTCACTCCTTTGTTTCTATCCACATAAAATCCCCAGCACCGTCCAAGTGTGTTAGCATCCCTGCCACTAGAATCTAGATTCAGGTTCCATCCTCAAAGTCAATTGCAACAATGCAATATTACTGGTCTTACAACATTTAGTCTGCAATCAACTTGGATCCTGCAAAAGTCGATAAATTATGCTGCTTCAAAACTGTTATGCCGTTTCTAATGTTTTGGTGAAATCTTAAAACTTGACATTGGACGGCCAAGTCTTGGCAACACTCAATGCAATCTTCTAAGAATGCAGGATAATAAAACCTCAATCAATATAGTGTGGCGCCCCTTTTCCTATTGCTGAAGAGAACCCTTTGTCTCTGGTCTGCACAGTATAAAGCAACACCAGTCACCTTGGAGTTTGCACCATTTGCGTCTGTCTTTACACAACTAAAGTATTAGAAGTAAAGAGGGCGAGGGCCACAGAGACAGAGACTGGACATTTTCTTGGTACTTTGGAAGGAGAGGAAAAAAAAGAAATCTTCCTTGGGCTCAATAAATTCATTTCTCATCTGAATGAGACCAGCAACGTGGAAAAATTTTGCTTTTCAGGCTGGGATGAATGTATGTTTCAACCACACATTAAGCAGTATTAGCGGTCAGTGGAGTGTCTAATGTGACTATTTTTCACTGTGGCCAACACTGCCCATGATTAGCATAATTAGCAGAGGCAAGCCTATACATATGGAAATGGCAAGTGCCTTAATGCCAGCCGTGATGGAAATTTATGTGTGCTGGCTAGCACCACTGGCACATCTGAATAGAATGTAAGTGAAACTGATTTTTCTGTTGTTTTGGCTGTTGATACAGTTTCCGCAGGGCAGGTGTGAAAAGCGGAGCAGAGAAATTACAAAAAGCAGAAATGAGAGATGTTGTTTTCTCAGTTCAATGCACTATATATGCTTCTCATCTAAGGTAACAGTATCCTTAATGACTCAAGAACTGATACAGTGTATTTCTATAGGTAAGACAGCAGCACCCTCGCTCCTCTTTCTCACCCCCCCAGGACTCAACCTCCCACTGCCGGTTCCGGCATTGTTTTACGGGGCTGGGAAAGTTTTGGTCCATTTGAGGGAAAAGGGACCTTTTTCATTCTGCTGTTTGTTGGGAAACATTTGAAAGAAATTGAAGGGTTGCATGACAAAAGGTCTGCATTCAGTGCGAAGCCGTACAGAAGGATTGTATGGCGGAATAGCCCATCTGCTGGGAGGCGCCCTGGGTGGGGGAATGCCATGGTACATTGGTGTTCCAAGATGCGCGGTCTGGATTCTGGTAGGACAGATATGACAAATGAGTGTAGGAATGCTGTATTCAAGTTCAAAGAAATCAATTTCTAACTTTATTAGAACACAAAAGATAATTTTATGTTGGTCAAAACTGGTTTGCTCTCAAATGTTTTACTTCAAATCAAAGAGAAACTCAATATCTGATTGACACGTTTAATAAATGAGGCAAAAACAGCAACAACATATCAAATGAAAGCCTATATGTCTCTTTAAGCCTTCTTCATTTTGGATCTTCCTCCCTAGCAGCGTGGGGCCTTTCAGGGGCCCCCTAATCCATCTAATCTACCACACTGAAGTTTGAAGGTGGCCCAGTCTGATCTGACAGGATATGTAACTGGGACAAGCCCTTTAAGATGTCTACAGGAAAGCAGAATCAGCAGTGTATAAAGGTGGAGTTGGCATCCCCTCAGGTGTGATCAGCCACACTGATTTAGGGATTTCTTGGTGTGTTGCCTTTAGGACGAAGGGTCAAGTGGAGAGGAAATGTCTGAGTTACGTGAAGGCATCTGTACTAAAACACTATTTGCCAACAGAAGGCCATGAAACCTTGCTGAGGCTCATAATGAATGCATCAATTGCTCTAAAAGCATCTTTTGCAGTGAAACTGGTAAACAAGCTCATTGTTCTCTCGACATGCTTGCCTCATATTTATAAGGCTCTTTAAAAAAACTGCTGACCTAAAGATGTGTTTTTAATCCTTATTTTATTTTCCTGTTAAATAAAGTCTTGTTTCTTTGCATCTTGCATCTTCTCATGTGTTTCCACACTCGAAAGAGCTTTCTTCCCAGGGTGGGAACATTTCTGGGAACTGTCTCTTTAAGGTTGTTAGAAACAGAGGCTGAGTAGAGAGGGGGAGTAGGGGGTAGAGTGAGAAAGAGTGAGAAGGAGACCAAGAACTTCAGAAAGAGGGAAAGGGGGGTATGAGAGAAACGAGGAAAGGTAACAAAAAAGAGAAGAAAAAAAAAGAAGAGCCGAGCTGATTTAAGCAGCAACTATGAGGGTCAGTGTGACACTTTGCAGAGATTGGGTGTTATGAGGCCGGACCTGGGGCTGAGGAGTGAGGCGAGAAGGATAGCAGGGGAGAAGATCGACTGCCTGGGTGGTCCAGATGGGAGGAACGAGACACAAATAGCTATAATTTACTTCAGGAGGCCTATAATTACAGAGCCAGAGTCTCTCCAAGCCACCCAGTTCCTGTTGGGATCAAAACACTGTGTTGCAGAGGTTAATATACGAAATGTCAAAAAAGGTTTTAACAGATGTCATAGAGAGGTCCGCAATCCTTTCCATTTTGTATCAGCCATTTTTTTGACCGGGATGTTGTCTGGAGATGGAAATGGGGTTGAGAGAAATGGTAGAGTGGGATAAATCTTTCTAATATAGATACATGAGAATGTGAAAAACAAAGGGATAATGGACAATTTATATAAATACATTGATTTAAAAAGTGGTTAAAAGTTGCATTTGTCCAATTTTAGGAAAATCTGTCTTAATCCAAGCAAGAGATTATCAAAAAGTTGATGGGATGTTCATGGTTACGATTAAAGCCTTGAAAGTTAAGCCTAGAAATACTGGACTTGTCCCTCCAAGGCCGGGAAATCCTAACCTGATCTCACACTTTAGCGGTGTAGGCTGCATGGTTTGTTGTTTTTTTTTTTTTCTTTCTTTTCTCCCCATCAATTATAGGAGCCTGCTCTCCTCTTGGGGGAGGTGCAGGGAACAGGAGGGAAAGAGGACAAAAACTAGACAAAATGGAAAGATAAACCAAATCAGTATGGGTTAAAAGGTGAGAGGATATAGATGCTTGAAAACAGGGCAAAGCTGTAATTGAGTGAGGCATAGTGGAAGTAAATAAAAGAATGAAAAAATTTAGATTTCGGATGGAGATAGCTCTTCGCCTCCTCTTCCCCTTTTTCCTCACTCCCCTGCCTCCCCTCTTGTCTTTCTCTCTCCGGGGTTGTCATGTAGTGCGACAGCAAGAGGGGCAGACAGGCTCTCTGTGATCCAGCGCGGCATGTTTCATGTCCACTTGGCACAGGCACAGATCCCCCCGGCTGGCAAACTCTTTTCAGGGCAACCTCCTGTAATTAGGGGGCTGGGGGTCTACCGCACAGCATAGCATAGCCTCACATTTCTTCTTTCTGTCTTCATTCTCTACTCTTTCTGACTATTTTCTGCTCATCATAACCTATTTTTTTTCCTTAAACATGTTTAACTTTCTTCATCTTCTCGTGATCTTTTGGTCTTCTCTCTATGTAGGATTGTGTTTCATGCAAGCACTGTTGAATTATACAAGAAAAGCTCACAATGTTTCCATAAAAAAATACTTTTGCTCTAGTTGAGGGTGTTTGAGACCCTATCTGCTGCTACGAGAGCTACAGTAGAAGGTTTTTTGGGGCATCAGAGGCATGGTTTTACTAACTAACAGGGCACATCTGTTTCGCAGAAGGAACCAATGAGAAGCCGTATTAGTCATTTTTCTTGGCCAGACGCTCCCTCTAGTGAAGTGCCTTCAAAACCAACACTGGTGAAGGCCAAGGGCGTTGGTCAATACGGATATATGCATGTGTGTGGGTGTTCTCGTGAAAGTATATGTGTGCGTGTGGCACGAAAATCTTTAATGGGCTGCAAATTTGTGCTTTTTAATCTCTGTGAAGAATATCTACAGATTTTCCTCTTTCTTTCCATGCTTTCTAGCTGGCAGTCGGGTGAGCACAGAGCTTCGGTACACCAGGGAGAAGCAGGGAGAGGAGTCAGTGTTTACCTCACAGATGCTCATCCAGACCCCCAAAGAAGAGGGCACTAACATTTTAACGCAGGAGGCTTTGCTAGTTCACATGGAGGCCGCATTGTCCGCCAGCAAGGTGCAGGTGTCGCTATTTGGAAAGTGAGTAAAGGGGTTTCCACACGTTTCTGTGCATTCATAACAAAATCAAAAAGGTAAACTCAACATTCCTTATTTTGGTTCTTTTGTAGATCCTGGGATCTCAACAAAATATGCTACAAATCAGGTGTTCCTATTATAGAACATGTCATGATTGAAAGGGTAAGTTCACAGTAAGTTTATTCCTTCAAGCAAACGTTTCTCATGATATATGGGGTTTTGATTGTTTTCTTCTCCTTATGTCCCAGATGATTGACAAGCTGTTCCCATGTATGATAATCACCCCGTTGGACTGTTTCTGGGAAGGGGCTAAACTACAAGGAGGATCTGCCTATTTACCGTGAGTTTCTGACCCAACCCAACACATATCTAACTCTTTTTTGCAACCGTTATAATAGACCTTTGGGTTTCATCTGAACCAACAAGAGGTCCACAACCTGCAGGATGGAGACATACAGTTAAGCTTAGGGAGCGGTCTGTCAGGAGCTGCTGTGACTGACAGCGGTGAACGCTAATAGAGTTCTTTTAGGGTCCAGAGTGACTGGAGAAGGACGACAGGGATAGGGGTTTTCTGCCAGAGAAATTCAAAGAGAGAAAGTTTAGGGAGGGATGCAGCGAAAACAGGGAGAGGAGATGGCCGCAGCGGCAACTGGGTGGTGGGTTAGTAGTGCGGAGGGCGGGGAGGCGGTCGCAGTGGTGGTGGTGGCGGTGGCAGGGGAGCCCTTTGGGTCAGACAATGGTAAGCATTCTTTCAGTTTACGAGTGAGTGTCCATCAGTGCTGGGGCCCCAGAGGAGGAGGGAGATGGGGTGGTGGTGGTGGAGGGTGGCTTTGTCAGCTCATGGCTAACACTCGGCATTCTCATGGTAATGCCCTGGGCTCCCAGCTCCCAAGTTGTCCAACAAATAAAATGGGCAGTATTCAAACCTCAAGTCCCCCGAGAAGGACGGAGAAAGGCTACAAGACAGTTAAAAGTGGAGTCTGGGCGTATTCGCAGATTCAAGCTTTTTTTTTCAGACCCCTTTCTCTTTTTTTGTGGAACAAAGTTCTCTAGAGAAATAGAGTCGATGAAAGGGTCCTTCTCTTTTTCTCTTTTAGTCGTCAGGAGTGATATTTCAATTGAGTGCGTACTTTAGAAAAAGATTGTTTAGATTATAGCAGATGTTTCTACGCAAAGAAATATTTTGTTTATGGATCCCTCTGAGCTGACGGTGCATTGTTGCACGACAAGCCAGCGCGTACAGAAACAAACACAAAGTTTCCCATCCTTAGCATCTCCCAGTTGGCTCGTGTGATCGCACAAGAGTGGGAGAAGTAGGGTCTTTGATGATTCACACATCATCCAAGCATTCCTGTAATCCACACAGTGTTTGTGACATCTGTTGTTGTTTATTAAATGTTTATTACTTGCGTTTTGTGCAGATATGAAGAAACAGGAAATGGTTGTGGATGACGATGCTTTTCTTGAGTTAACATTAAGAACAAATCTGGGAGAGATAAATTCAGAAGAGTGTGCAAAAAAGGGAAAATAGAGGAAAAAAATGTATAGGGAACCAAGAAAGCAGCAATCTTTAAGAAAAACAAAAGGGTTCAGGTTTGGTTTAGTCAAGGAAGAACTAGCCAATAAAAGAGTGTCGTAGCAACGAGTAGAAAAATAGGAGTCTGGTATGAGAGGATAGGAGTGGACTCCTCTTTAGGATTCATTTGTGAATCGTATAATTTCTCTTTATTATTTCAAATGACGGAACAATGTCACAAAATTAACTAATCAACAAAAGATCATCTCAAAACATCTGAATAGTTCTATGAATTGGATCAGAAACAGGAAATAAAATGTATAGAAATTATTATTTATGCTTTCAATAAAAATTTGCAAACATGATTATATCACATTACGCAAATAATATGACTTGTTCTGTCTCTTTGCTCTTCCCTGCATCTATTTTTCCTCTCCATCCCTTCCCCTGCTTATCAAGATGTTTGGGAGGCAGAGGTAATCGTTATGACTTGGTGCAGGGCACTGAAGAATGAAAGTGAGCAGGCAGCCACCATGCCTTTTTTTTTTTCGGGCATTGTGGCAGCGTGAAACAGGATAATAAACGCTATTTTATCCTGTATCTGTAGCTCGCCTCATGCGTGGCCCCCGTGCAGCTGAGGAAAAGCAGAGAGCAGATTAGGCCTTTTCCTGTCCGTAATAAAGATTAGCGACTAAACCAGCAGACAGGAGATCAGATAGTTTAGAGTTTCTTCCTAAAAGTTAAGACTTTATGACTATCCTGGTTTCAAGTGTTGACCAATAAAAGTATGGTTTTGCTTTGCAGAGGCATGCAGGATATCCAGTGGATGAATCTTGATCCTGTCAAACTGATGGAAGAACTGGGCCAGTACACATCCCTAGAAGGTTTTAAAGAGATGCTGGACAAGGCCCAGGTAGGAGAATTAAATATTCACTCAAAAACAAGCGAATCATTTTTTACATGTGGCTCACCACTTGGGGAGAAATCTCTTCAGATGCTGCCCAATCTTATTATGTTGTAATAACCCCACAAAATCTGCATCTAAACTGCCATCAACGTCCACAAACATAGAACATAGAAACTTTGATAACACCTTTTCTTTGTCTTCAGGTGGGACATGCCTATATGGATAGGCCATGCCTTGACCCGTCAGACCCCGACTGCCCTACAACTGCTCCCAATAAAGAACAGGAAGAAGTGTGTTCATGCTCAAAAAGGTTCATCTGTAGGGATCCAATAATGGGACATCACTTTTCTAAACGCTATCATTTTCTGCCTTACCAGAGTCTGGACATTGCTGAGCGTCTCCAGGGTGGATGCCACGGCTTCAGCCAGAAGTTCATGCACTGGCAGGAGGAGCTCATCCTTGGAGGGCGGGTCAAAAGCAGCCAGGAAACTCTACTAAGGTGTGTGGGGAAAAAATAGCACAGCAGATCGAAGTTGAACCTATATGCTCTTTGCACACCAGTACCAGATTGCCTCATAGCAAAACAAATCAAGTTCTTCAATAAACTCTGGGTTACTTTATGATGATTGACAACCAAATAACAGCCTTGTGGCCTACTATACTTCCTTTCAATGAATGAAGTAAAGAACAAGGAGAAAAACATACTGCCTGGTGCTGACCCAAGTCCTTTTATTAGTTGGGCCCAAAGCAAGTATAAAACATTAGTGTAATGTCTTATTTTACTTCTAAATGTTTCATTCCTTTAAACAAATGTTTTTGTTAAGCCCATTTCTTGCAGCAATTATAAAAATAATTTCCACTCTTCATAAATGGATTAAAAAAACTCAAATGTATTGATATGTTTACTATTCTCTAAGCGGTGCTTCCTATTATAGTAAAGCTGTTTTTTTAAGGAATATGTATTTAATGTTGAAAAAATAAGCTCTGTTTTTTGGATCAGACATCGGATACTGAAACTTTGACGCAGATGCTTACTTAAGCATCAACAGGGGGCTAATGGCTAGCCATTTGTGCTTTTCCTCTCAGTGCTTGCTAATAATTTGTATCTTAAAAGTGTCAGTTTCTCTTTTTTTCTATTTTTTCCCTACTTATTACCCAAAACCCTGTTAGAAAATGATGAGGGCAGTTGGCTTTTTTGTGCAAATTAACTAAAAAGTTATTGGTTGGACCAACAGGGAGTTGGTCTTTTTATTAGCTGGCTTGGCAACACACTGGAGGAACAGCTCAAGAACTAGTTCCTATCTTACTCCAAAATAAGACATAGCTTTAAGGGTTGGAACCTTCACACAACCAAATGTGGCTTACTAATTAGCAGCTATATATAAGAGCTGTAGGGATATAGGTAAACAAATGTCAGAAGACTGAGGAGCAGTCTTTATGTTGAGAAGGGAAATGAACATGAATTGATTTACCTCAATGGTAAAAACAGCCTGATTTGTATTTAGCTCTAATATTCTGTGGTTATGAAGAGATGAAGCTTAATGCCCAGAAAACTCATAGTTTGTGTGCTTTGCAGTGCTGAGGCTCTCCAAACCATGTTCCTGTTGATGAGTCCAAAGCAGCTCTACGAACACTTCAAAGATGACTACCTGATCCACGACATCAACTGGAATGAGGATAAGGCCACCGCCATCCTCGAGTCCTGGCAGAGGAAGTTTGTGGAGGTTTGAACATCTTATGCCATACCTCTTCTACTAACTTTAAAGCGTTAGATCATTTTTTGTCTCCTGTGTAGCTTTGTTTTCCATAAACACTCTCTCCAACTGCAGTATTGAAATTCCATGAGTCCTCAGCTCCCTTTAGAGTGAACCACAGGGCAGAACAGGGCACTGTGTGTGTGTGTGTGTGTGTGTGTGTGTGTGTGTGTGTGTGTGTGTGTGTGTGTGTGTGTGTGTGTGGTAGGGCAATCATCTCTCTCTGTCAGAGCCCTAGTTATAGGAACAAGCTGTTGCTGTGATAGCCGACACCCACCTCCGAGGATTTGGGGGAAGGGGGCAGAGGTTTGGGGGGGATGACAGAGACTCAAGACCTCCCCCTTCGACGCATTAAATAACAGGAGCAAATCTGTTTGACATAGCCGATGATGACTTCATGTTCACAGGTAGATTTTCAGAAAGCTAGGGTTTAAATGCATTGCGGAGAGCCGCAGAGAGCGGCTGGCTGAACCGTGGAACTCCATTCTTTTCACCTTTGACCTTATAACCTTTGGCATCTGTGCTCATTACTCCTCAGTTGTCATACTCATGTGTGGACACACACATGCTGCCACATGTAAAAACACATTTGTGCTCATTTTTAGACGCACTTCGCAAAAGATAGATGGGTCCTCTCAGAGTTTCCTAACTTGCATTGGAAAAACGTGTTTTGACAACTGGTTGTTTCCCTCCAGGTGGTCCATCAGAGTATTCCTGATAACTCCAGTCAGTCCATCCATGCCTTCTCCACAACAACCCTCAATGACATCATGAAGTCCTTTTCTGACGTCAGTGTTATCAGGGTGGCTGGAGGATACTTGCTCATGGTGATTACCTGATAAAATATGTGTTTTCATTTTCATGACTTAATAGTTTAAGCAAGAAGTTGTGTCTTTTTTTTAACCCTCCACCTTTTCTCCTTAGTTGGCCTACGCCTGTGTGACGATGCTGAGGTGGGACTGTGCCAAGTCGCAGGGGGCTGTTGGACTGGCAGGGGTGCTTCTTGTAGCTCTGTCAGTAGCTGCTGGACTGGGTCTCTGCTCTCTCATCGGCCTCTCTTTCAATGCTGCAACCACACAGGTACGACGCAGACGGATCATTCAGTTTTGGTGCTTGACTTTAATGCTTATAAGATGATAAATAATGAAACAAAGTGATTTGAGGAGTTGCAAAACACTAAAGTTTTATGCTATTTTTTGTCAGCCCTGCATAACTGCTGAGAAGCGGGGAAAAAACACCAGTTTAGAGGACAATTTGATCTTAGAAGCATGTGCGGGGGGCTATACCTTTGATTTAATGGCCAGAATGTGATGTTAAGTCACTTCAAATGCTCATTCTGACCCTTTGCCTCCACTGATGTGTTTCCCATCCCAGGTGCTTCCCTTCCTCGCACTAGGGATTGGTGTGGATGACATGTTTCTGTTGGCTCACTCCTTCACAGAGACAGGAAGTAATATCCCGTTTAAGGTACTTTAAAATATCTAAATACTCCTCTTTTTTTAGGTGCTTCTCTCTTTCCTTTTCTGACTCATCTGTGTTTTTGTTTTTGGGCCTGAAGGAGAAGACAGGAGACTGCTTGCGTCGCACCGGCACCAGCGTGGCTCTAACTTCCATAAACAACATGATTGCATTCTTCATGGCTGCCCTGGTGCCCATCCCAGCGTTGCGAGCATTCTCTCTGCAGGTATGTTTTAATTCCACCCTCACACGGATGCGCAGGGACGTTAATGCGGTAAGCGCACAATCGCGCTCCGTGAAGCCCAAAGCTCCTTTGCAATTGAAAAGAGAAAACTCAAAAGAGGTGACACTTCTTCACGGCAAGGAAACCTTTTGTTCCTGGTTTTATTGGCCCCTTCACCTAGAGGGCCTGGATATCTGTGGCTGCATGTCTTTGCATGTGTGTATAACGTAAAATATTCAGAGCATAGGGAGCAGTGGACAGACTTAAAGAAGCAGACAGAGAGAGGAGGGAGTAGTGGATCAGTATATCACTGGCCCGTCAAAGCGGTTTTCTCTGATCTGTGACTAACTGTGGGTGGTCTGAAACACACAAGCGCACAGATAAACAGACACGCATAGATGTGCTCACACTGGAAACCACATAATAGAATGTCAGCTCCAGGGTCTGAGCTGAGTGGGGGGTGGTGGTGGTGGAAGCACTGGTGACGGCTGATGGTTTTGCTCAGACTTGCAACATATATGTAATTTTTTTTTCATGTCTTTCAAATCATTCTTTCTCTCGTTGCTCTGTCTTTTTACCCTCCTCGTTGCCTGTTGGTTTGAAGCTGGGATTTTTTTTCCTTGTTGGGCTCCGCTCTCAGATCTGTAAAAAAGAAAAAAAAAAAAAGTAAAAGGTTTTGACTTTCCCCAGCTGTGCTTATACATCTGTTATTTTGCACTCTTCTCACTTTGTTTTTCTTCTTTTTCTCCCTGCACCTTCCTCTATCCCCAGGCGGCCATTGTGGTGGTGTTTAATTTCGCCATGGTGCTGCTCATCTTCCCTGCCATTCTCAGCTTGGACCTCCACCGGCGTGAGGACAAGCGCTTGGACATCCTCTGCTGCCTATACAGCCCCTGCGCCGATCGCGTCATTCACCTCTCGCCAAATGAGCTGTCAGAAAGCGGCGAGCAGTCTCACGTGCCCGGGGCGGGGGTGTCGCATGCACACCAGTACGCCGCTGGTCCAACGATCACCACCAGCACCCAGATCACCACCACCGTGCAGGCGTTTACACAGTGCGACTCGGCTGGCCAGCATATTGTCACAATTCTGCCACCGACTTCTCAAATCTCAACAAGCACTCCCTCCATCATTGTTTGCCCAACCACACAGACTCAAGGTACATCTGGAAATATCATACAGGAAATCTTTGGTTTTATTTTATTAAAAATTAATAAATAAATAACACTCGCTTTCTTTATTCTTCCTCCCAGGTGTCTCACCTTCTCCAACCACATCTGTGCCAGACCCCTACGGCTCCCAGCTCTTCACCCCGACCTCAAGCTCAACGCGGGACCTCCTAGCCCAGGTGGAAGATTCCAAATCAGGGAAAAAGTGTGTCCCATTCCTCTTCCTCCACTGGAACCTTTCTATCTTCGCCCGGGAAAAGTATGCCCCGCTCCTCCTGAAGCCCAAGAGCAAAGTTGCAGTTGTGGTCCTCTTCCTTGGGCTTCTGAGTCTCAGTCTATATGGAACTACCATGGTGCACGACGGCCTCTATCTGACTGACATCGTGCCCCGCGACACCAAGGAGTATGACTTCATCGATGCGCAGTTTAAGTACTTCTCCTTCTACAACATGTACCTGGTGACCATGGATGGCTTCGACTACGCCAGATCTCAGAGGCTGCTGATTCAGCTGCACAACGCCTTCAACTCTGTCAGATACGTGGTCCGAGACGAAAACAACAAGCTGCCCCGTATGTGGCTGCACTACTTCCAGGACTGGCTAAAAGGTAAAAACATCAGACGACATTGGCATCTGAATAAACATTTCCAACCTTCTTTGGAATTCTTTAAGCAAACATTTTGTTTTTTCTGCAGCACGGTTTATTCTAGAAACGCAAACTTTTTCTCTTACATAAGATTTTGCATAGATTCGACCAGCTGCCAATTCAAATCTTACCAATTCTGATTTCCCAGAAATCACTAGGATTTAGGAACACGATGCAGATGTATATTTCAAGTGTTTCTGTGGGGGGTCTTTATTTCACGTCACAGGGAAGAGAAAGAAATTAGTATGAAATAGGCTTTTAATACTTCAAAGCAAAACAAAGACATAATTTAGCATCTTGAATCTACAATGAGCCTGGTTATTATCGCTGCTAGAATGCACTCAAGTCTCAGTCTTTTCTGTTCCTTCACACCCAGAATTAACCATAGACATTTGCTTAATTAGTATAAAAAAATTTAAAAAAATTTATTTTGAAAAACATTTCTTTTATATCCCTCTCTGTACATTTTTACACACCTCATTAATGGTAAAAATATGTAATCTTGAATTATTCTTACTCTGTAATGTCTTAAGTTTGTATTTTGCTAAAGCCAGCCTGCGGTGGGTGTAGGGTAGAGAATGTAAAAAAGGGTGAGTGAAAGTTCAGACATGCTATACTCCCCCCTCCTCCCCTCCACCTGGACTCAAGGGTGGCGTATTCGATCGGTTGAGGTCATGGGTTATCTTTTCATGTGTGTTTGGATGTCCTTAGGTTATAATGTGTCAAAGGCCCAGTTGAGAGGAAGTAATAGTTAACAGGTCAACCAGGACCAACTGTGGGAGTGAAAAAAAGGAGGAAACATGATATTTCACATTTTGAACGTCACCTCATATGAACAGACATCTGGAGAAACTTTCCCTTTAGTATTGCTGTAGGAATCAAGGCACTGCCAGGTAATATCCACAATAATTCTTTATCTTTATTATCTCACACACAGGCCTCCAGGATGCTTTTGACGCTGACTGGCAGGCAGGCCGGATTACTGCTGATAGCTATAGGAACGGCACAGAAGACGGAGCCCTGGCATACAAACTGCTCATCCAGACAGGCTCCAAGAAGGAGCCTTTTAACCACAGCCAGGTATCTTTAACCAGATAACCAGATATTTCTCTTGTGCTTTAGCCTGTGGTTCGAGGAAAACTAATTGCTCTGATTTGTTCATTTTTAGCTAACTTCTCGCCGACTAGTGGATGATGAGGGTTTGATTCCCCCGGAGGTGTTTTACATTTACCTGACGGTGTGGGTCAGTAATGATCCTTTGGGCTATGCTGCATCTCAGGCCAACTTCTACCCTCACCCCAGAGAGTGGATTCATGACAAGTACGACACCACAGGAGAAAATCTGCGCAGTAAGTGGCTCAATCTTAAACACTTTCTTTTGCACTTGGCATACAGAAAAACTAAATAGCCTTTTTTTATTTCCTCTGATCATTCAGTTCCATCAGCAGAGCCCCTGGAGTTTGCTCAGTTTCCTTTCTATCTGAATGGCCTTCGCCAGGCAAGCGATTTCGTAGAGGCCATCGAAAGTGTGCGTGCAATCTGCGACGAGTTCAGCCGCAAGGGCGTGCTGAACTACCCTAACGGATACCCTTTCCTGTTCTGGGAGCAGTACATCGGCCTCCGTCACTGGTTCCTGCTGTCAATCAGTGTTGTGCTGGCCTGTACCTTCCTGGTCTGCGCCATTCTCCTGCTCAACCCCTGGACGGCTGGCATCATTGTAAGTTACCTCTCTATTTGCCTCATCTTTCCGTTCCTCATCTATTTTGTATTTTCCATTTCCTCTCCTCAAGATCATTAGCATTTCCTCCTTACAATCCTCATTTTTCTTTCTTTTCTCTCCTCTCAGCATAGCTCACAAACCCCGTCTCGGGGCCCTTGTTTTTCTCTGTAGAAGGCTGCTCTCACACACAGAGACTTTGTCATTCTTGCATAGGTTTACGCAGCTATAGAAAAAAGGAAATGCTAAACAGTCAAAACACCCAGTGCCATCCTGAGGCCTGTACTTCCAGCTCCCTTGCTGTTTTTGTCAAAAGACGAAGGGAAGACATAGAGAGAGAACAGATCGACCCACTTGCAACCTTTGCCTGCACAAGTCATCCATCAGAATGCGTTCATGAGACTAAGATAGAAAGTATCAGACTCCACAGACTATTAGCTTCAGTGTTCATGAACAATCACCAATATATGCACACATATAAAACAAACCCACATATGTTGATGTTCTCTGTGGGATAACAGCTGAGTAAATGTCTGCATGTTGTATTTAAACAGTGCTTTATCAGCGATAAAGAGGCAGCAAATAAGAGCAGTTTGGGGCCGCTGGTGGCAATTCCCCTACTCTTGAATTTAGCATCAGGATTCAAATTCCTGACATCCTACTTAGTTTTACGTTGAAAGTAGATATCTTAAAGTCTTCATCCTGAAGTAAGAACTAAGGTGGTGTTGTGGTGTATTCAATTTGTTTGTGAAAAGTAAGATTTTTATTATTTCCAATCACCGATCAGCATCGGCAGATGGCTGCTCAATGCCGAGCCTGGAGGTTTCTTCTTGTTATAGCGGGTTTTCCTTTCCACTGTTGCTACAGGCATGCTTGGTGTGAGTCGATGCAATTAACTGGTTTTCCTTAGATTGAAAACTGACTCGATTTGACTGTATGATCTGGTTGAATTTTCTATGTAAAGTGTCTTGAGATGACATGTGTTGTGAGTTGGCTTTATTTAAATAAACTGAATTGAATTTAATTGAATCCGAACAGTGTAATTTCTAAATGGCCCAATGTCAGTCATTATCCAATTCCTCTGTAAACGTCTCCTTTTAATGTTTTTATCTTGTGTGTGTTTTTTTATATGCAAACACTGCTTGATATTGTCATAGGTATTGTTAAAAATTCAGGCTTTCTCAGAACAGAAGGAGAGAAGGAAACATAAAAGAAAAAAATTGGACCTTGCTAAGCTGAGGGTTGGAAATCTGACTATGTGATTAAATTCCCGAGTGCAGGGTCACAGCGTGGAAAAAAAGATCGATTTAGTCACTAAATGACAAAATCACTCTCTGATAAATACCTCTTTCAGGTCTGATTTTTTAAAGCAATGGGTAAATGTTATGTTTTTTTCCCCGACAGAGTTGTAACATTTCATTATGTTTGTGTGTGTTCCAGGTGTTTATCTTGGCCATGATGACCGTGGAGTTGTTTGGCATCATGGGCCTGATTGGCATCAAGCTCAGTGCCATTCCTGTGGTCATCCTGATCGCGTCGGTGGGCATCGGAGTGGAGTTTACCGTCCACATCGCTTTGGTAAGTCTGCAGGCTACAACCCCAACTCATAGATTACCAGCTAACACTTCGCTTCAAACCTGCAAGAAAGATGAAAGAAATAGTACAAAACCAGGGATTTTAGTTTGTTTTTAGCGAGCCCAAATCAGTTCAAAGAGGAGACTCCTGTAGTTTTATTTGTTAAATGGAAAGTAATGAAGGTGAAATGTTTGTGATTAAAGATTTATTTTGGCTTCCTCCTTCACGCTGGCAGACCTGTGCTGTGAGCTGCCTTGTAGTGAAGTGCAGCAATTCCAGCAGTTCTGCAGCCTGCAGAGTTTTACCACAAACACGTTCGGTTTTTTTTCTGATCGGAAAGATCTCTAATTCATTCCTTTTTCTCCACCTTTCCCGTTTTGCCACAGGGCTTCCTGACAGCGATTGGCAACAGGAACAAGCGGTCAGCAGTGGCCCTGGAACACATGTTCGCCCCGGTTGTGGATGGCGCAATCTCCACGCTGTTGGGTGTTCTCATGCTGGCAGGATCGGAGTTTGACTTCATCATGAGGTGAGACATGTGTGGTGTTTTTTGTTGTTGTTTTTTTTACCCCTAATTTGGGTGCGAAGGGAAACCTTGTTTGGCTTGATGCAGGTGGAAGTCGTATTCTTCTATTTCTGCACACACAAGGGCACTCGTGTGCAGACAGTGACTACTACACAGCTGGTTCTGCCACTCCAGGATCACACACACACACTCCATCTTAGAATGCAACAAATGGGGAAAACATCAGTGGTGTGTGTAGCAGCTGCTTGTAAACATGGAAGCTTTCTGCTGCCCAACGGGTGGTGTCTCTCCCTGCCTCTCTCTCTCAAACACACACTCAGGGAATCTGTAAAAATTCCTATCATCCATTTGGCATTCTTTCCTTCCATGTCGGATGCCATATTAAAAAGTGGAGCTAAATTTGAACTGGTCAGCCGGTGTGCAGCCCACCAACAGAGCTTGTTCCCTCCTGTCTCCTTCTGAGTGGATGTGCGTGCGCTCCGAGTAAAGCGTAAATCCTGTGCATGTGCGTTGTAATGGGTTAGTTTTTTTTTTTTGTTTTTTTTTCCTAGCACTTCATGGGCGAAGTGGAAAAAAAAAAAGGCGAATAGCTCCATGTTTTTCAGCAGAACGTGGTCTCAGCCCAAACCCGAAACCACAACCTTGAGCTCACATACTGCAACAGGCCTCCATGACATAAAAAAGCACAGTTTTGCTGAAGAAACTCATACAGAAGCAGAAGGGGAGGCAGGGAGTGGGTGGAGGAGAAACCTTGGTAGGGTGGCTGATTTGCACGGATATGTGGTTCTTATGGTTGGGTGGAAGATAGTAAAGTGAACCTTCACAAAGGTGGAGAACTCCAATGATGTTCATGGAATCAACTTTAAAAAGTAGAAGAGAAGTAGAGGTTTGTTTGTGGATGGAAAGGAGGGGCGGGGTCAAAGAGGCCAGAGGCTCTGTTGGAGGTCTTGTTTAGCTGCAGTTTCAGTTAGACAAATGGGGTGAGCCTGAGCAGGCTAGCATAAACACACTGCTCTAAACATCTTCTGGCCTTGAAACGTATTAAATAAACAAACATGTACGATTCAACTCCTCTCACAACTCTCTTTTTAACAAAGAGAAACATATACCTCCATAGTCTACATGCAGAAACTCTTCAAACTTGACCACAACTGGAAAAGATTAGAGTTTTTGTAAACCACTAAATTCCTGACAGTAAGAAACTGATGGGGGTTCTAGAGTATTCTCTTTTTGTCTGTCAGTAAATAAGGAAGTTGCACATAAAGAATACCAATGTTAGAATGTGAAAATAACACCAGCCTGCTTCAGAATTAAGCCGTCTGTTAGGATTATGCTTTAAGTTTAAGTTGTGTTTGACTTCCAGCTTCTTTTTACTATTCCCGAAAAGTAATAATTTGAAGCAATTGGGAAGAAGTGTCTTTTCTTTCTTGTTCTCCTCATCCCAACTTGATTATTTCCCCTCCTCTTTATTTCTTTCACCTCTTAAAGTCTGGCCCAGCAGACTTAAAGCATCTCACTGTCTCTATTCCTTTGCATTTTCTGTTAGTGTTTAAGTGGAGTCCTCTCTAATTTGCTCGGTGGAGTTCTTTCTTGTGGCATGCCTCCACCCCTGGCCTCCCCAGAGCTCCGTCGAGATGCATGCACACATGCGCAAAACCAACATGCATACAGTGGGGGAAGCAAAAAAAATAAAAACAGAGTGAGAAAAGTTGTGCAGCAGCAGCACAAGATGCATCAAAGCATGTTTAAGCTGAGTGGGGATTCAGATTAACCCTCCCGTCTCTCTCTCTCTCTCTCTCTCTCTCTCTCTCTCTCTCCCAGACTGCTTTGATACAGAAACATTGCGTTTTCCCAGCCTTCTTTCCCTGCTTTTCCTCCTCAAGTATATGTTTTGATTTGAATGTATAAAGAAAAATGGAAATAAAGTGTTTGGATTAGTTTGTATGGTACCAGAGTTCAGAAACTAAATGTGATCTGGTTGATGTAAACACAAGGAGGAGGAAGGAATCAGAGATCTATTTAACCCAGGGTTAGGTGTGCATAAACCACAAGAACAAAGTTTCTGGTCACATATAATAAAAATGTTATTTTTTTCAGGAACTTTTTTGGCATCCTAATGCTAATTTTGGTAGGCAGATTATGTAAAGTAAACAGTATTAGAAGAAACACAATTCAAAGCAATTTTTCTACCTTGATCTACCAGGATGTATTTTAACCAGAAGCAGATGCAGTTTTACTATTTTGAAATACAAGGACATAACAAATGGTATCTGCTATCAGTTGTAAGATATAAAAGATATGTTTAAACAGCAAAAAAGCATTTTGTCTAACCACGACCAGGTAGTTTTTTCCATGGTGTGCTGTTAATTCAAGCTGTAGTTGTCTTGTCATTTTAACAAATGCTCCTATCCGTCCATCTTGCAGGTATTTTTTTGCCGTCCTCGCCATTCTGACTGTTTTGGGGATGCTGAATGGCTTAGTCCTCCTCCCAGTCCTCCTCTCCATGATGGGCCCTCCAGCTGAGGTCACCCCGGTCGACAATGCCAGCTGCCTGCCAACACCTTCCCCTGAGCCCCCGCTGCCTCCTCCAATGGCTCACCATGGCTACCTCACAGCCCATAACCCTCCGCGCTCGTCTCGGCAGCAGGCGTTTTCTGACTCGTCTGACTCGGAATATTATTCCGAATTGACAACGACATCTGGGATTGGGGCGGAGGAGGATTACAAGTACTGTGACAGGAGCTCTTACCAAACTTCGCACATGGCAGCTCCGCCTGCAACATCTCATATACTGGTGGAAGCCAGCAAGAACCCAAGCTTCCCTAAACTTACGGTAAGCATTGCAAGGACACAGGTCTGCAAAGATCTATGTATAACTCTCCGTTAACTTGTGTTTGTACCTATGAGTAACTTCTAAATGCTGTTTTGCTGTAGGTGCTGAAGCCGTTTAGAGAAAACGCAGCAGGTGGGAGGGTTCAACCATTGTGTGAATCCACCCACAATCTGCAGCCACCTCCACCTCCTGGTAACCAGGGGACCTGCTGGGATGGAAACAGACGGGAGCAGCAGGGTGACCTCCAGAGACTGCAGGCTCAGTCAGCTTCATGCTTACCCAGCGACAAAGCTCATTTTCCTGGGAGGACTTGTCAAAGTGGCCCCAGGCTGCAGAACAGCAGAGGGCCTCAGCCAAATAGGACTAAAGGGCCGAATTACGGTCATGGCAACTCTTCACTGCCAATGCAACAAGGCCTTACTGGGGGCGCCGTCACCATGGTCACAGCCACGGCCTCTGTCACAGTGGCTGTGCACCCGACCTTACCGGGGGCTGCCTATCAAGGATACATGCATGAAGGTTTTGACATGGACAGCGAGTCAGACTGTTTTGAAGCTGCTAATAGGACTCCTAGTGACAAAACAAAATATTCTTCATGCAATAGAGACTCTCTAGAGCTCCAAGACTTGGAGGCAACACAGGTCCAGACAGAATATCAACAAGGCAAGTCACAAGGTGAGTCAAGTTTCTCTGATGATAATGATTTTTTTTTTTTTTTACCAACTTCTAAAGATAGAACTGAGAACTTTATTTTCTAAACCCTTTCCTGTTTCTCTGTTCTGCAGGTGGGCTTCGGATCCAGGCATCCAAAGACTGCTAAAGATCCACTCACAGTGGCATTCTCACTTCAAGTCTCTGGATCCCAGAGCACCTTGACCTCCTTACTGTGTCTCGAACTCTCATTTGTACATAGGCTTCACGTTCAAAAAAGAAAAGAAGACGAGAGGATTCACTTTAAGGACATGAAAGAAAATTACTTGTTTTAAGAGTTATATAAATCTATGAGTATATATATTTTAATACTAAAAAAAAGAGGGAAGCTATTTAAAAGAGTACGGTGTAACTTGGGTATACTCTTATGTCAGATGTAAAAGATTATTTCCATGTGGGGTTGTGGATTTGTTTTCTGTCCCACTGTGTATAGAATAAGAAATGTTCTATATGTTTTCACAGAAAAGTGAGATTCTATTAAGGTATTAGAGTATTGAACATACATGGTCAGTGTTTTATTTCTATTTGTGTTATTATGTTTTTTTTCTTTTCGTTTTTTTTTGCTGCTACACTTCCTATGTTATTTTTTAGGCAATTTGCCTTAAAAAGTGCAGTCCCCCTGCCCCACCCCCTTTTCTTCCACAGTATTACACTATAAATCCTTTGTCATACACAGTCTGTCAATGCAAGTTGCAGAAACTTGCACAGCAGATACTCTTTTCCAAGCAACAGTAACCGTTGTGCCTTCAGTGTGTTGCCCACCTCACCCCCCCCCACCTTCTCACTACCCCAGCAGTTAATGGTCAGTATTAAGTTTTCCTTTTAGGTGCTAAACTTTGCTTTTAATTATGGAAAGCAAACACTCCTTTCTCATGTTTGCATCCTCAACATCCTCTGCAGTTTTAATTTACTTGAAGGAGCTCTGATAATTTATGTTTATTTCTTCAGCAGTTTTGTAAGCTCATATATGGGGCGGGGGCGGGTGTTTTAGTCACTTTTACGTCAAAGTGTTGTTCAACTTACGGTTTATATATCAAAAAGGGAATTTTAAAATGCAAAGGGAGTTATTCTATTTGATTAGTTCCCCCTTTTTAAAGTTGTCTCAGTGTCCTGTCACTGTGACTCAAGCAGTTCAGTCAAACTTCGGTGCCTCCAACTCGCTTTGACTCGCTTTCTAATAGCTTTGTTGTTGTTGTTTTTTTTTTTGCTAAAACAGAGATAAAGCTTCATCGTTCAGTATTGGTCTCATCACTGCCAGGTTATACTGCAGGGATAAACATGCAGATCTTTTGGTGGGGGTTTTGTCATGTTTTAAATGGCAGCTTATTCCGTTTTTCTTGCCTTTTGTATGAAAGATGAGTCAGTTTGCTACTGTAGTTGGGAATCACGAAACAGAAGCAGGCAAAGCGCCCTTTTTCAGTTCGAGCAGACAGCGTCAGATACAGGTGGGGGAGGGGGGGTGTCCTGCATTGGTTTTTAGTTTATTTCAAGAAAGATGTTAATGTCATGCCATATAAATTATTTATATTAAAATTTTTATTTTTGTAGTTTGTACAGATTTTAGTATCTAGACTGAAGTTCTATTTTTAAAGAGTAAATATATATTATATATAAATATATCTATTTGTTCCTGAGGTTATTTTGTTTTTTTGCTTTTTTGGGGATTGGGGAGGGGAACAACACATTGGTGCGTAGGAGTGCATGTGTTAGTGTGTATGTATGAGGGTGTGTGTGTGTTTGTGTGTGTGGAACAAAGGAGGCAAATGGAGGAACATGAAGGAGAAGGTGAAGAAAAAAAAAAAAGACACCACGTTTTTGGGTTTCCTCCTGGCCCTTTCTTCTTCATTTTTATTTCTTTTAAGATGTCCTTGTCCACGTCTGAAACACTGTGATTTCTGAAAACTATGCTCAAGAGAACCCATATGTGACAGTTTATATTCCCTCACCTGCTATAGAAATTAAACTAACAAAATAAATTGAATGAAAAAGTGTTTTCTTGTGGTGTTTGCCCCCTTTTTCTTCTCTTCTCTGTTCTCTTTTCTGATTCTGAAAAGACGCCATAGGTCAGTGCTGTTATCTCAAGCTGTTCAAACGCTCAGTGTTTGCTGGTTAAATGTACTTATTCAGCTGACCCTACCTGTTATCAAGGTTCATTGTTTAAGGACACAAAAGAAAAGGCTTAAAGTCAGCTTGTTGATATTTATGACTTAAAAATTAACTTCTTGGCTTTTAATTCTCGTAACCTCAACAATCAGCACAGCTTTTTTATTCAGCCGGATATGTTTCCATGTGTAAGCTTTATATATCATGTAGTGCATTGGAAATTAACCCATATCCACTAAATGTTTTCTCATTTGTCATTTTAAAACTAGGCTTACAAATGTTCAGTCTTAATTGGGACTTTACTTGAATGACAGACACCAAGATTTTCATAACTATAAACTGGAAGAAACTCAGAAATTATGCTGCAAACCTTTCTTCATCCCCTTTACTTAAACATCCCTACAAAAAACCCAGTGCTACCAACTGCCTTCAGGTGTGTAATTAAATCTGTCTCTTAAATGCATGTAAATAAAAACAACATATGCTGGTTTATTTAGAAAATTCCTTTTTTTTTTTCAGATATCCCTCAGCTGCATGCAGAATAAAACCTATCCACATTTAGAAATAGCTCAATATTTCTGTAGGATAAAAATTATATACAGAGTTTTTCATGAATTATCATCTCAAGTATGAAGGGTGCGTTTTCATTGATGATGTCCAAATAATAGGCATGATCGAACAAGTTTAGAACAGCTCCTGAGAGAAAGTGTCAATTTAAATGTTCTGAGGCATAGCAGCTCTGGCATCATATTGGTAGATGTTTTCATGCTTTCATGCTTTTTCATGGCCATTTATTGCTATAAAATACCTAAGGGAGGTAATATTGCCTTGAAATTGGTGTTTGAACAAAACAATAAACCCAAACACACCAGTAAGAGAGTAGCATTTGGGTGCCAGAGCAAAAAAATGTTACAGATTGACATTAAAACCATGGCACACAGCACGTCATCTCAAGGCATTTTACAGAGACAATTCAGCCAGATCATACAGTCAAACTGGTTCAAGCTTTTCTCTCTAAGATTGCATCGACTCATTGAATCAACAGCAATCCCTCACCCTGGTTTTGATAGTTCCTTATTCATCTGTGTGTTTCATGCAGCCAACAGGGTGAAACATTCCCACTTCTTTAACAATAACCCCACATCATAAAAGCTCTGCTCTACCTGCAAAGCATCTAGGATAAGATGTTGTTACTCTCCTGTCTAGATCCCCTTCACTGTGTGCGCACACAATGACACTCGCTAATATACACATTCTTACTGTTACTGTTTTGCAAACCGGTATTGCAATTCTTCAAATCTCCAGCATAGCAACCTTCAACCTAATCTATTGAGTTTTAGTACTAAGACATTTATTTGTGTCCAAACTTGAACTTTGCCATCACCATTTAACACTTTTAACACCAGCTAGATTTATGGTTAACAGCCAAAGATGTAGTCACCTTTCCATTGGGGAGTCTCAGGGACATAGTTAAACATTTCCTCACCTCTATGCCTTCTTATACACAAATACCCTCACTTATACACACAGGCCCACCTGTGTAGATGAAAGGTAGCCCCTGTAAATTCCTCTGCTTGCCGTATAACAGCTCCTCGTTTGTCAGCTCAGGCAAAGCAGCCCATGTCTGAATCTGATACCTCAGTCTTTTGAAGTTGCTTTCATGTCAATTTACATTTAAACCAAAGCAGTATGCACACACTATTGCAATTTAAACTAACAATACAGCACGGTGCAAATGAAAAGTTGCATTTCGCATACCTCTACTGCAATTTTAGAAATACGAAATGCACAATTGCTCTAATGGTTTTAGGTAAACTTATTGTAAATGGTAATGTTGCATGAATTTAAGGACTCAGAAAGAAAAACAAGTGGCAGTTATTACTCGTGAATGAGATGGAGTATATGCAATCTTAGTTATGGAAAGAAAAATGTACCAATAGTCAGAATTTCCCTGTAATTCTTGCAAAAAGTAGGTCACTGTAATGCTGTTTAAATTTTTCCTAGATGTTAAGTTTAAGGATTTTTCTATGCGATAGACCAACGCAGCGCATCACATAGCCTACAAGTTAAAACTTTTAAAATGGTTTTGAATGTTTCAAAGTTAAGCAAAATTGTTTTCACAAAGCTGGCTACTAATTAATAGGCTTCACATAATTACCAAAACATGTTAGAGTTATAATCTTAAGTTATAAAACTTCAAAAATATGAATTCCAACATGTTTCACATCCAGTATTAGAGGGAAAAAACACTCTCAAAATGTTTAAAGATGGTTGAGCCATACTCTAGAACAATCAGCTGCGATTACAACAAAAAGTGGTTCTATAAGCTAATGGCTAAGAGGTGCTAAAAACATAAATCTCTCGGATTTTGATCAGTAAAAATAAATATTCAAAACCATAAATCATTAAATCATTCTCTCAGCTCATATTAACACAGCTTTTGTTGCATGTAAAAAAGGGACGACTTTTCATCATTCTGTTTCATTTTCCATCTGCTCTACAATTCTGCAGTATTTGTTACCGTAATTCAACCCAAAATGTATGCTCTCTCTGCTTTTGGTCATCATAGCATTTTAATCTGCTCCGTTCCTGTTTGACTGTGACACATCCTGGAGTTTAAAAAAAAGAGCTGGGTTGCTGCAATCAATACCTTTGATTATGGATTATAGATTTGGACCTGTTTCCAGTGCTTAGTCCTGTTTCTCTCTTAGACAGAGCTATGGCCACAGATTTACTGTGACTAACTCTTTCATCACTTCTGGCAGGAAAACTGACTCAGCTTTTCTGATTAACTGTTTCTTTCCTATACAGAGATCCCTATAGCTCATTTTCCATTTAGTTTTCTAACATAGAACATATGTATGGATCGGTTCTTCTGTGCTCTTTTAGTATGACTGCTTCTGTCTCTTTGAACCCTCAGTCAGCCTCATCATCCTCCAGTTGTCATGAAATGTGTAATTTGCATTAAAAAAATCACAAAACATTTTTAGGGAGAGTGATGAAATTAAACAAAACTTGAAATATTTAAAATAAGTGAATTACTGAGTAAATTTTGACTATACAGCACCTTTCTTACAAAATCGAAATATAATTTACCCTAAAACCATGATGACCACAATATCTAAAATAAGAAATACACACAACAAAAAACTTAAAAGTATGTGTGATTAGAAAATATATAGTTGCTCTTTAAAAGTATCAACATTGTTAAAAAATGATAAAGACAAGAGAAGATTCAAGTCATCACTGCTTGAAAGTAGCCGTCTCCGCAGGGCTTAAAACGGCAACGCTGAACAGAACAGAGCAACATACAGGATGTGTTGCATGTAAATCACAAAAAGTTAACACTAAATTAATTCTAGTAATATCTGGTCACCAGTAACGATTAGAAAATTTAATATTCTGAATCAGATGTCAAGAGCTGTTCCATGTGAAGATGATCAAAAGCTTTTATTTTAGAACAGGTTCATTTCCAATACAGTAACCTAAATGAGAATAAATAAAAAAAAATGAACAATAATCTCCTCATCTTGCTTTGACAGCAAGATCCTTGGTATTTAAAACACTTTCAATAAGCAGAAACTGCATGAATGAGAGGATTAATCAGTTTTAAAGGCACGCTGTCAGTATAAATGAATAAATATAATGTCTTTTCAACTGAAATGAGAGTTGTTATTGTTTTTCCTCATGTCTGGCAAGCAATTAAGTACAATCGACGATTTACGTGCTTGAAATTTCAATATAGCTGACAACAGTCTGGTTTACATGAAAACTAAAAGTTTAGAAAAAAATATGGGAGGTTGAAACACTTATATGGTACTGTACATCCGGCGAGGATTTGTTTTACTCCAACAAAATTACTTTAGATGAGAAGATAGGCAGTATGACTTCCTCTAAACTGTGTGGTATGTATGTCTCCCTGAAGTCTGCTTTCGCATTAGCTGCACAGCTCATTCCTCCATGCTTTTGTGCTGCACCCAGTGTGAAGGTAGACACACATACACCACCCCCTGCCTCACAAACACACATGCCAGTGCATGTTTTAGACACACAAACACTTTTCTTTGCTAATCAGCTCTATTGAATTCCAGCAACAATGGGCGCTCATCCTCTGGCCACCCAAGCTGTGCACATATGCACACACACTGACTCACACACAAACCAGCATGACCAGATCATGAGATCAGACTTTTGTTCCTTCGTGGTGTTTTCTCTTCCTCCAGCGGCCTCACCTTCACACTCGGGTCAGAAGCTGGCACAGCAAGATCGTGTTATCTGGGCTATCAGCTCCTATCTGGGCCCACACACTGCTCTCACACCCACAGAGAAGGGGAACAAGCCTGTTTAACCTCTCTCACATTTACTACCTTTGTACTACAGAGAGGATGGCTTCATGTGGGGAAAAAATCAAAATCTTCAGTTTCCTTCTTAGCTCATAAAAACTGAAATTATTGACAAAGAAAGTTAGTAAACTGTTATCTTTATATCAGTGTGAGCAAAGGCATAGGCGTGGCTTATCCACAACTTAAATTAGTGATGATATATGTAATTTTCACAAGCACATTTAAAACATTAGCACCTAGTTAGTTGGGATATCAGGAAAATGTTGTGAATGTGTTCAATAAAATGTTCAGATAATGTGTAAATTTCAATATTCAGCTTTCATCCAATTGTGATTAAATATACTGTTTACTTTTCTTTTCTAATGTAAAATAAATTATGTTTTAAAAATCATTTAAAATAACATATTCTGTAAAGTAGTATAAACAGAAGTATAAGGGCATTAAAAAAAGAAAGAACTATTAAGGACACCAAAGTCAAATAATCAGGTCATTAGCAGGACTCTGTGTCTTGACTGCATACTGAAGAGGGTAAATTGGCTATTTGA